CCAAAGAAACTGGAGGCTGATAGACTGGAGGTAATATAAGGCATTACAATCAATTTTAAAGTAAACGTTTACCAGTCTTGTGCATTGTATTTAAAATAATTATATCCTTGCAAAAAAGTCTCAGCCTTTAGTATTACTTTAATATAAAAGATTATATGCACCCTTCATGTCTGACTCCCACTTAAAATACCCTGTATATCCTACTTCTAGGTATATATATATATATATATATATATATATATACTTTTTATATTTTTTTTTTGTTTACTATAAAGGGCTATTTTTTGTTTTTTTTTGACCACATGCCAGGTGATATAAAAAGCATGCTGCTACTACTCAAAATATGTATCAAACTTGCGCCAAGGAAATAAGTGGAAAATTAAGTGAAAAATTAAATGCTGCTGTTCAAGGATTGACTAAACATCAAAAAATAATAATAAAAATAATACAGCGCAAATGATACAAATAATCAAAACAGTTTTGATTATTTGTATTATTTGCGCTGTATTATTTTTATTATGCTGCTGCTACTAAATGTCTTGTGCTGGCCATACATGTATCGATTTTTGGACAAAATTCTTTTTATATTCCATGAATGGACAAATGTCATTCGAAAGCTGCACTTGCTTTTAATATTCAATTTAAAAATAATGTGATTTCTAAACAAAGCAACATCTACTGTCCAAAAATGTGTTCATGAAAAGTTGTCTATTCTACTTCTTTGAATTTTCTTGTGTGGTGAAAAGAAATGTCAATTAGACCCCACTAACTATTAGAAAATCACACAAATGTTCTTAAAACTCACATTTTAAAGGAACAATTTGTTTATGTATGGCCATCATAAGTGGCAGCAAACACAGGTTGTGTCCATCTACCTGCCTATGACGAGGGGGTTTGTTATGCATAATATTATATTACAATCCTCTCTGAAAGTTGGCAAAACTGTGATTTAGGTCTAAATTTAATTTTTTAAATGTTGAGCTCTGAGTCTGATGGTATTTACCAGATTCAACCTCCAAGAGTATATACATCTCTTCTGTCTATTATTATCAGAGTGGATTAGATATTTTGTTCCCCAACCATATAGCTGGGTATTTTTATTTACCACTGCATATAGAAATTCAAGAATAAATTGTCTGTTTTTATACTTTACATAATAATAACTAAATTATACACCAAACTTTTTTTGAGGTTTTTATCTAATGAATCGAGTAATCAAAACAATAATCATCCAACTTATCTATTGTGAAAATAATCATTAGTTGCAGCACTAATTTGCATACTTGTATGAGGTCAGTGAAATGTTTAAAAGAAGACATCTTCTTCTCTGGCAGCTTCACTTCACTACCCAACTATGGCCAGCTTTCTGACGTCATTCCATATAATGAAGAACCAGCATTGTACATAAGGTTGCCAAGGTCCTGCCCACAGCCCAGTATATTGAATAGTGGTGGACAGCCAGAGGAGCGAGGCATTATGTAAGTATATTTCCTTAGTCATCATCCCCTAGGCAAAACAATTACTCTTTGTAGTGAAGAGGGGGACCCTCTGCTAATGTTTTTTTAATTCTTATGGGGCCAACTTTAAATCTTTGAACTGAACCAGTTTGCTGACCGTTTGGGAAACTTATAATATACAGAGCCCAGAAAAAGTCCCACTGTGCACAAACTGTTGTCGTGGGCTGCTGGTGGCATATATATATATATATATATTTGTGCATCAGATAGATAGATAGATAGATTAGTAGATAGATATACAGTCTCTCTCTCTCTCTCTCTCTATATGTTTTTTATTGTGGGTTTTATTCAAAAGAATTCTGATAAGTGCTAGTTTACACTAACCCAACAACAACCAATCAGAATTTAGGTTACTGAAATCAGATAAATGTCTCCTAGATTTTAAGCTCGAAAGAGCAGGGCCCTTGACCATCTCGTGTTTTGTTTTGCTACTGTATTGTCTCATGTACTGTCCCCCACTATAATGTACAGCGCTGAGCAAACCTTTTAGCGCTATATAAATACTGTATAATAATAATAATAATAATGTGGTATTAATCTGATTGGTTGCTATGGGATACTATGAGTTTGTTCTTAAGAATATGGTTCTTTTATGATATAGGACTGATTGTTTGTCATTTTAGTAAATAGAGCCCAGCCTTTTCCTTGGATTAAGGTTATAGTGAATGGCAAATTCAGTCACAAGGCCTCTTCAGACTCTTCCAAACTCTATAAACCCTGTGACACAGTGAATCCTGTTCCCCTTGTAGCAGTAGCCTCTGCCTGGTTGGGGATCTCCTGTAGGCATGGTCTGTTGGTTGGAGATTTCTCCTGGGAGTGATTAGAGCTGTGATTGGCTGTCTCCTCCCCTGTTTGGAGGTGTGGGGCAGTGAAACTGTGCATGCCCATGAGGAATGGCAGATGATCACTAGGTTGCCTCTCTGATCTATCTCATCTCACTCACTCAGTCTGAATGAGAAGGATCTCCAGGGTCTGACTCCACCAACTGCCACCAACTCTCTCTGCAGCTTAGAAACAACAGTGTGGGCGGGGTCACCTGTGATTGGTTCAGCAGCAGCCAGCAGGATACACTAGAGCTTGTTCTCATTGATTTATCAAATACTAGTACACAGGGCTACAATAACATGGCTGCAATATTTATCTTCTTTTTACTATGTAATAGTCAAAGAATAAAACAAAAGACCTCCCCTTTTCAAAGTGGACAGAACAGTAGGATGGCAACCCCCCATTTTCAGCACAGTCTTCTGTTCAGCTTATCAGTAGTTGGATTGTTCAAGAACAGCGGGATCATGGTAAGTTGAGAGTGAGGGACTGGTATGCTCAGCAGCAGGCAATGACAGTTGGATAACTGCTATTTTGAGAGCTGCTAGAGAAGAGAGGAGCCGCATCCTGCGCAGGTAAGAAGTATTATGATGTTATGTTAAGTTAAAGTGTGTATTTTGTAAGTAGAAGGACAGCGGTATATGTGTGAAGTCGAGCAGCCACTAGTTACCTGTACCTCTTTACACCAAGCCAACAATTCAGCAAAATTTAGGCCCATTTTTGCCCACAGCAAAGTGACTAACCCACTGACACCAATGAATTTTAAGCTCCAACCAGCCATCACTGTAAGGGGCCACAAAAATCTCTGACAACCAATGTAAGGGATATTAAAAAAAACACTGACTCCAATGTGAGGGGCACTAAAATCATGGCCATATGGGCAGATAATTTCTTGCCCTCGTGGCAAAAAAAGGAGGATATCTCTCCAGTAGATACATAGGCAACAATCAATCCCCTTTATGTAATAGCTTGGAGAAGGGTAAGCAGAGTACTGCACAACATCTGTTAATAGCAGAAAATTTTGGGATGCTCCCTCCACAAAACTAAAATAACATTTTCAGAGAGGTTCTAATCTTTTTTCCTTTTAATAAAAAATATTCTGCAGGCATTTTTTATTCTGCATATGTCTGACTATCAGACCTACAGACCTACAGTAATTCAACCTTGTATTTTATGGCTTATTATCCTTACAATGCTTAGCTTGGACTTTTTATACTTGAAGGGACATAATAGTAGGACCAGGGAAGACTAAAGAAGACTGGAAGAGATCCAGAAGAACACTAGAGGGATCAAAAAGACCAGGGCATTTCCAGGAGATACCTTGAAAAATAACACTTGGAGAAAAAGTAAGGAGACATTGTTTGTTCTCACACTTCTTTAGTAAATGTAAAAAAATCTACACAAGAGATGGTACTCACATTAAATGCAGTGTCCTCTACTCCCCATACTCTGGTCGCTGTACTCTTTCAGTGCTATGGGGGTTAACTACTTGCCATCTGAAGTACATACATAAACATCCTGATGGCAAAAGGTTAATACCAGGATCATGGCTGCTGCTGCAGCCATTGAAATCCACTTTCTGGCAGACCCTAAAGGCCCACTCATAAAAGATACTGTAGGGCTGCGTTGGCAGCCATTTCCAGCACAGCCCCAACATATAGTCAAGGCAAAACTCCTTGTTTCTGATGGTGTCAGCTGCTGAAAAAAAGTACTGCATGCAGTACTATTTCCAGTACAGTGGGTTGCAAATGCGAACTACCTAATTTTTGTTTTTTTTTTTTTGTTTTTTTTTAACCTAAAACACACTAACACTAACTGACACTGATTCCGATTTAAAAAAAAAAAAAAAAACCTGACCTTTGACTCTGACCTTTTGACCTTGACCATTGACCCTGACATTGCCCCAAACACTTACCCTGACACTGAACTAGATCAAACCTTAATCTAGGTGTTTGTTCTTTATTTTTTATTTTATATTTTTATATTTATTTATTTATCTTTTTTTTTTCATAACAAAATTTTTTTCCCCTCTGTGCCAGGAGTTAGAGAGATACAATGTATCTTTCTCCTCCATTCATACAGAGAAAAAAACCCAAGGGGACCAGACTGTAGAGTGACTGATCACTGTGATAGCCAATCAGAGACTATCACAGCTTTTATGTGACCCGGAATCAGGAGTGCCAGGTCCCGATCGTTAGAACGGGACTCTGGGCTCTTAGTGGCACCCCGGTCTTTTTGCTGGGAGCACACCGTGCAGGGTGCTCCCAGCAGAAAGACAGGTACACAAATATGCAGCCCCACTGAAAAAAGCCCAGTTCTGTGAGGTTGCATATTTATGTGATGTCGGTGTCAAGGGATTAAATAAGATACCAGTAGAAGATCTCAGTCATGGGACTGGCGTCTTCTCCAATCTCAGAGTTCTCTTTACAGTGTGAAGCATAGATCCTCTGTGGAATATTGCAGGCTCTACTTGTGGTTAACATTCCATGACTGGGAAGTAGAATACAGCTCACAGTGTGGAGTAATACTATGGTGTCCAGGGATAATGATATCCACTCTTGGTTTAAATTGGCCCCTTATTGTATGTTACCATTGGCACAAAACTATGGGATTGATTTACTAAAGGCAAATAGACTGTACACTTTGCAAATGCAGTTGCTCCAGAGCTTAACCCATTCACGCCTAAAGGTAAAACAAATCTTAAAGACTAAATAAAATTTTACAACGTTGACATGTGTTAGTAAAATCGTACATATCATCACAACTACTTTGTACATCCAGGTGAATTATACCTTGTTTTTTCAGGACAAATTGGGCTTTCATTTGGTGGTAAATGGTAATGGTTATCCCCTGATGTTTTTTTTTATTATCAAAGAAAAACTGGCACAAAATAGTAAAAAAAAACATTTTTTTTAAATTTAGCTGTGTGGTTCTTGTTACTACCATAACTTACCACCAAAGTACAACCCAAAATAAATTTTCCAGCTCTTGACAATCGCAGCGATACCATATATGTGTATGTTATTTGTTGTTTGTACCTGTAGTACAGTCCAGAAACAATAGTGCGCATTTTGTTTTTTATTTTGTTTTTTACCTAAAACACACTGACACAAACTGACACTGATACCATTTTTTTTTAATCCTGACCTTTGACCTTGACCCAAAACACTAACCCTGGCACTGAACTGGATCAAACATTGATCTAGTTATTTTTTCTTTATTTTTTTTTTTATTTTTTTTTTAATATTTATTTCTGTATGTATGTATGTATTTATCTTTTTCTTTTTCTTTTTTTACAAACAGTTGGTTTTTTTCCCTCTATGCAAGGAGAGAGAGAGGTAAAATGTATCTCTCTCCTCCATTCAGAGAAAAAAAAATCAAGGGGGGTGGCTTCACTGTGTCTGATCATTGTGATAGCCAATCAGAGGCTATCACAGCGATCATATGACTCGGAATCGGGAGTCCTGGGTCCTGATCATTAGAATGGGACCTGGGGCTGTCAGTGACACCACTGTGCGGCGCACTCCCAGCATAAAGACAGGTAAGCAAATATGCAGCCGCATGGAAAAAAGACCCAGTTCTGTGAGGCCTCATATTTGTGTTACGTCAGTGCCAAGGGGTTAAAGGAGAAGTACAGTTAAAGCTCTTTTGGCTGTACTTCTCCTATGGATCACAGGAGTGCAGTTCAGTCTGCACTCCCGTGACCAGGGGTGGACTGACAACTCATGGGGCCCCCGGGCAATAGGGGATCATGGGGCCCCTGTGTCCTTGCCCAAACTCAAAAAAGCCTATGAAAAAGGTACCAGGGGCATCTCATGGGGCCCCCTACTGACCCCGGGCCCTCGTGCAGTGCCAGAAATTCCAAATGGTCAGTCCGCCCCTGCCTGTGACTCAATTTCAGCTGACAGCGGGCTGAAGCATATACATATTATCATTATACACTGCTCAAAAAAATTAAAGGGACCCTTTTTAATCAGAGTATAGCATCAAGTCAGTTAAAGTCCTGGGATATTGATCTGGTCAGTCAAATAGCAGAGGGGATTGTTAATCATTTTCAGCTGCTTTGGTGTTAAGAAATTAACAACAGGTGCACTAGATGGGCAACAATGAGACCCCAAAAACAGGAACAGTTTTACAGGTGGAGGCTACTGACATTTTTTTCCCTACTCATCTTTTTTCTGATTGTTTTTCACTAGTTTTGCATTTGGCTAGGGTCAGTGTCACTTCTGGTAACATGAGGCGATACCTGGACCCTACAGCGGTTGCACAGGCAGTCCACCTCCTCCAGGATGGCACATCAATACGTGCCATTGCCAGAACGTTTGCTGTGTCCCCCAGCACAGTCTTAAGAGCATGGAGGAGATTCCAGGAGACCAGCAGTTACTCTAGGAGAGCTGGACAGGGATGTAGAAGATCCTTAACCCATCAGAAGGACTGGTATCTGCTCCTTTGTGTAAGGAGGAACAGGATGAGCACTGCCAGAGCCCTACAAAATGACCTTCAGCAGGTCACTGGTGTGAATGTTTCTGACCAAACAATCCAAAACAGACTTCATGAGGGTGGCCTGAGGGCCCGACATCCTCTAGTGGGCCCTGTGCTCACTGCCTGGCACCATAGAGCTCGATTGGCATTTACAATTGAACACCAGAATTGGCAGGTCCGCCACTGGCACCCTGTACTTTTCACAGATGAGAACAAGTTCACCATAAGCAAATGTGACAGACGTGAAAGGCCTGGAGAAGCCACAGAGAACATTATGCTGCCTGTAACATCGTTCAGCATGACCATTTTGGTGGTGGGTCAGTGATGGTCTGGGGAGGCATATCCATGGAGGGACGCACAGAGCTCTACAGGCTAGACAATGGCACCCAGGATGAAATCCTTGGACCCTATGTCAGACCCTATGCTGAGTTCCTGGTGCATGACAATGCCCGGCCTCATGTGGCGAGAGTATGTAGGCAGTTACTGGAGGATGAAGGGATTGATTCCACTGAATGGCCCCCATGCTTGCCTGACCTAAATCCAATAGAACACCTCTGTGATATCATGTTTCAGTCCATATGATACCGTCAGGTTGCACCTCAGACTGTCCAGGAGCTCAGTGATGCCCTGGTCCAGATCTGGGAGGAATATCCCAGTACACCATCCGTCGTCTCATTAGCAGCATGCCCCGATGTTGTCAGGCATGCATACAAGCACGTGGGGGCCATACAAACTACCGAGTACCATTCTGAGTTACTGCAATGAAATTTCAGCAAAATGGACTAGACTTTGATTTTCGGGGTGTCTTTGAATTCAGTCCTCTGTAGGTTGATAATTTTCATTTCCATCAAACGATGGGGTATCCTTACGTTCCTAACACATTATCCAGTGCATATCAGTATAGATATCCAGCATGATATATTTCCCCATTGAGATCTAATGTGTTTTCAAAGTGTTCCTTTCATTTTTTAGAGCAGTGTACATCCTTTCATTGTTCATGATAACATCCAAGCAAAATGTACCCTTCCACTTAATAGAGAGCTTAAAAAATAGAGGCAAGAATGTATGATCATGGTGTATGAATTGATCTTAAATAAAATCATGTAACCTTGGAGAGCAGAAGCAAGAGGTGGTGGAACCCAATCAAGAGTGAAATGGAATGCAAACACATCAAGTATACCTAAAGTGGTGGAGGTATGGAGGTCCACATGCATTGTGGTAGTTTGCCTCTTAATCATGCGATTGCTGCAATGTACATGGAGCTCCTTACTATTTTGTTCCTTTTCTGTCGGTATACTTGATGTGTTTTACATTTCATTTTACTCTTTTCTGAGGTCCACTACCTCCTGTCTCCCTCTCTTTTTTCACCCACTATATTTAAACTGTAAAATGTGCTTAGGATCATTTTAACTAATGGTAGGCTTACCAGTCTTTCTGGGAGGGACTCTTGGGTATTCTCATGGTGATCCATGACATACAAGCAAGATGATAGCAGGTTCATGGCCAAGCTCTGAACATCTTCAAGTTAGCAAGTAAATCCTGCTTCTCTTTTAATATTTTTTACACTGAAGTCATTACAACATACAGTATATTAATCTATTGGCTCATTTAAGCAGTTATCTGTTACTTATGTTATGGTCACATACATACACTGCAATTCATAAAAAGTGACATAGACAATCTTTAAAATTGACACTAATAGCAAAAAAAAAAAGAAAAAAGCGATATGGAATCTTACCACTCCCTACTCTATCTAAAACAATTTTAAATCTGGTAAATAACTTCAATAATATGTGGACTTTTTAAAAACAAATTAAAAAAGGGAACTATATGTGTTATACGTATGTGCACAATTTCTGTTTCAATCTTCTTGGTGAAATCAGTGACAATACAATGATAAATAATGTTATACCTCTTCCAGTGGGAGATCACAATGAGGAGTGGCAATCATCCAGGACTTCTAGAGAAAGTAACGAGGAGAATCGCTCCAACAATGATGCCCAAAATCAGGATGGTGTTGTTTTCCCCGCCAATGAAGTTGGTATGTCTGTCTATCTATCTATCTATCTATCTATCTATCTATCTATCTATCTATCTATCTATCTATCTATCTATCTATCATATCTATCAATTTGTTTATCTATTTATGTGTTTTATTTAGTACTAGGGGTTACTGCACTTTCTTACAGGATGTTTGGAAGGAAGTCTGTAGCATGTTTATCTCACTATCCTTAGTTGTGATAATCTCATAAAACATGTATAGGTTTATAGTTATATAGTTATTAAAGCAACAGTTGTAATTTATCAATTTATGCAAAAGAAGATCAATAATGCCTCTCAGCATGTGGTGAGTTGTCTTTGCATTCCTTTAGAGCACCGGTCTCCAAAACTGCAGCCCGTGGGCTAAATGCAGCCCTTTGCTTGTTTTCTCTTTATCTGGCTCTTTGGGCACTATTCCTCCCAATGACACCAATCAGGGGGCACTATTCCTTCCATTGACACCAAATGTGGGGAACAATTCCTCTCACTGACACCAACAATGGGGCATTTTTCCTTCCACTGACACCAGTGATGGGACACTATTCCTTCCATTGACACCAGCAATGGGGCATAATTCCTTTCACTGATATACACAATTAGCCAATATTCCTCCCACTAATACTAATGACGGGGCTCTATTCCTCCCACTAATAGGAATGATGCGGCACTATTTCTCCTTCTACTGACTAAAGGCACTATGTAATTTTTTTACTCCCACTGACACTGCAGCATTTTCTACTTCCACAGGCCACTACAGCCCCTCTACAGTTTGAAGAACAGTAAACTGGCCATTTGTTTCAAACATTTGGAGACCCCCTGCTTTAGAGATATGATGCTCTAAGCATCTTCTGCATTCAAAACTCTACCTAGTGTGTTAGATGCCCTGGTCTGTGTTCATTGTGCTTCCATTTACAGACCCCCACATCACTACTATGACCTGTAATCGCATAAGTTCTGGTGGATGGAATCAAAGAGCGCAGCAGGGTACTGAAACATCTGACATGCTGATTGTCAGGACTTGTGTCATCACCTGGGTCACTTGCTAGTGGCACTGGTTTCCCGGAGTCCAGGGGCACAGTTCAGATGGTCACCAGTGGGTGTCTCACAGCAGCTGGGCTGTCCAAGTAATTAGGCTGCACCTGATGTGGGCTGCTGAGAGGTATATAAAGGAAGTTGGGGAGCGCTTAGAACATCAACCCAGTATGGGATGGGGAATGGACCGCAGTATGATATATTGATAAAAGGTCCAAGTGGAGAATGTCATTCAGGTGAATCTTAAATGGAGGATGTGTGAGTATACAGTCTTGTGGGAGGAGGCAGCCAGCTGTAAGAGCTTGTAGGTACTCCTGTGCACAAAATAGAGAAGAGAGACAGCCGCGCCACTCTAAGTGTAGATTGTTAAAAGGCACACATGTTTAATAGTTAAAATGCCCTCATGAGAGTAGAAAATTAAAAGCATGCCATGGTTTGACAGAAGAGTCCAGTGTACTGATGGTCCTATGTGGTGCTCCTGGTTAGTACCCGTCACTCTGGTGGTTTCCAAGGCTCAGGGGGTAGTAAAGAGGCGCAGGGAGGCTCAGACAGATCGTGTCACAGCACAAATCTTATCACGGTACCACACTTGAATTCACTGAGCTCCTGAGAGCGACCCATTCTTTCACAAATGTTTGTAGAAGCAGTCTGCATGCCTAGGTACTTGATTTTATACACCTGT